AAAAAAAAAAAAAAATAGAAAAAAGAAAAGAATCGAATAAATAAAGCGAATCACATAGCAAACAGCAAACACCAGTGATAACAAACAGAACAACAAAATAGGTCCAAGTTGATTATATTTACTCTGACAGTTAAAGAAACAACCAAGCAAGAACTTAAACTAAAAGATAACAATACAAACCTTTTAGCTCTCGTTAAAGCAACATTAGTGCGCCTAAACAAAACGAAAACAAAGAAGAGAGAAGAGAAGCGTCGAGAGAAATGAAAAGAAAAAAAGAAGAGAAAAGAAAAGGAAAAAAAAAAAGCACAGTCAGATAGCACATAGTTAATAGCGAATGGTTATTAAGCCCGGCAAGCGTCAAAAGAGCAAAAAAAAGATGCCAAGATTTATGTTGGAAGGCCCATCACCGTGTACAATCTTTTGTTTTGGCCTCATTCACTATACATGAATTACGTAACAAGAATATTTCTATTGGTTAGTTCTTCAGTCAAAAGTAAACAACTAGTGTGTTTTGTGCACGGTCAAGGCCAAAAAAGAGAACAAAAACATACAACAAAGAACTTTGTCGGATTTCATAACCATTCCCCTCTATCAACTTTGGTCAGTATACATAACACATTGGGTGTCATCCACATAAAGAGAGCAAAAATCGCCTGACCTTTCACGTATATTTTCAGTGTAAGGAAATAAAGGGATAGCAGTAGTAGAACGCAGGACGTAGCAAGTAACATCATGTGATCACATGTTGCAAAACGTGACAGCACTTTACCGCATGTGCACCTCACCTGTCACAGTCAATAAATCCAATGTGATCCGTGCGCACGCACGATAAAATGATGAGATCCTTTTCACCTCCCTGGAATGCGTCCACGGTTGAAATCTGTTCGTTTTAAACAAAAGCAAGCGTCATTTGGTCTAGCTAGCTGCTGACTAACGAAATATGATCAGGCAATCTGGCATGTTTCACAAACGAACAGAACTGGACTGGGAATTAGGTAAAAGTAGGCAGCTGAAGCGACGAATGGCAAGCATTTGAAAATGAAACGTGTGCAGCAGTCACCTACCTGAATGGCTTTGAGTTCGGCGTGAGAGGTGGCCCTGAAAATCAATATTGAGTAATAGCTTTAGATTAATGTTGCACAAGAAATAGAGGCCGGATATTTCATGTCAGCTTCTTTATTCTCCTCACTCACGTGCTCGATAATGTTATTGTATTTAATTGTTCAGAAAAATTAGATGCTCAGTACGTCTGCTTATTAAAGGTCATTCTTCAAAGTGCTCACCCTGCCATCCATATACACGCCTGTCAGCAAACACAATTTTGTTTTAAAACCTGAATTTTGTCTCGCCATAGGTAATAGAGGGGAATAGTTATGAAGCCCAACAGATTTCTATGTTGTATTTTCTGTTCGCTGTTTTAGCCATACCCTTGGACAAGGCACAAGAGGTGTTTACCTCTGTTTCAGCAGAAAACCAATGAAAACGTTCGGGTAACGCAACTCGAGAACAGCGTTTAACAAAAGATTGCACGAGGTCGTCGACCTTCCAAAATAGGTCTTGTCATCTGTTTGCCGGGCTTCATAACTATTCCCCCTATTAATTAAATATAATTTTTCCAATGGAGCCACGGTATTTTCTGAGGAAACCGAAGAGAGCATAGCTTTACTGCCAGTTCGTCCTAGTGTATTGTAATGCTGTCGCACATTCCAGTATTTCTATATTTGGAACCTCTTGTAAGCGACCACCTCTCGTAAGCGCCCGCGACCACTTTTAGAGCTAAAAGTTTGAAATAGCTGTTATCGCAGTTGAGCCTGCCGTCAAATATTCTTTTGTTTACAAAGGCATACAAACGAGGCGAACGGGTCAATACAAAGCAAAATTGACCCTTTCGCCTTGTTTGTATGTCAAACCGCTGATAACTTCAATAACAGCTATTCGCTCCCGTAAGCGACCACTTCACAGATAATGGAGCGAAAAATGGATAAGGTGTTGTAACATTATCGTATTCCTGGCTAGTTCAAGAGACGGAAATTTGTCAATGGGAAGAACCGGAATTTATTCTCGAAATTGACTTTACATGAATAAACATTGCATCGGCATTGGCGCATGGCAGTTACCACATTCTAATGAGGAAAAATTTTGACCCATTACGGTCTAAGCTCTCGTAAGCGACCACCTCCCATAAGCGACGACCTAGGCTTGACTTTTTGGGTGGTCGCTTACGGGATGCCCGATGCACACGGTTTACTACGTGTGACGGAACTACCAAAAGTAGTTTGTATTTTGTACCTGGAAGCTGTTAAATTGGTAGAAATCGTCTGCAGCTGGGACTTGTACAACGTTATCACCCCTAACAACAACAACAAAAAAGTAAAATAAAATAAAAGCGTTGATATTAATGTAGCCGTAACAGTAATGTTGACAACAAGTAAGCAAACACTGGGAACCCAGGCAACCTCTTGGATTCGGTTAGATACAGAAATTGTCGGTTCCTTGCCATTAAGGACACAGGTAAAAAAACAAACAAACAAAAAAAAACTCTTCGACTTAAAACTTAAATCCCCTTGTATCATCCTTGCTGTTGTTATTATCACTTTTGCCATTTACGTTGAAATACTGGGATTATAAGCAGGCGTCTACAGAACAACTACAAAGTACTGTTAGCTCGTCGTTGACTCGTCTGTCCCACGTTGATCTTTCAACGACCTTAAATTTTACCGTCTTTAATCTCCAAAAAGGAGCTGACATTGCTGATGCTAGCACTATCCTGGCCGTAGGTCACATGTGAACCTTGTAAATGGCCTAAAAGCCTGACCGTTACCTGGGAGGTAAGGGTTTCGAACCAGCCAGGAACTAAGATTTTTCCTTTGTCCCAGGCTTGCGATGTAAACAATATTTCATTTTAATTATTGCGTGTATGAGACTTTGCCACAATTCTAAAAACAACGGAGCAAACGAATATCTAGGCATTTGCTTTATATCTCCAATGGTAATAAACTATCAAAGACTATTATTTTTAGGACACTGAGTCGTCACATACCAATTTGTGCTGGGTCCACGCCAGATTCCAGCAAGCATTCGATAAGAAACACAACAAATTTAGCCTGCACAACAAAAAGAGTCGAAATCAATAAAACAATGATAAACAAACCATAGGTGGAAACACCACATGGAAGAATACATATGTCTCAGAGAGGAATACAAGAGGAGAAAAAAAAAAAACAAAAAA